CCATGCCAGAGAGGGTGCAGGGCCGGCACAAGCCTCGCCTCTTTTAGTCCCAGGTAGCATTTTGTCACTTGGAAGTAATGACCAAATGATGGGAAACCAAGCACCACCCCCCAGGTGCAGCTGGTACCATAGCCAAGTCCACACAGTGATAAGTGGGGGCATCTGCCTGACCAACCAGGGCAAGGACCCCACCTCCTATTCCCCAGGGTTTCTCCAGCACCATGCCTGGCACATTCCAGGATCAGTGAGCTTGTGACGCATGGATGCTAGTTTGTATTCTTCCCAACAAGCACTGTGCGTGTGTGTGTGTGGGGGGGGGTGGTTCACTAGGCAGCCTGAGGAGGGTGAAAATCCCCAGTGGGTCCTCACCTCCTCGGTCAAGCCCCATCAGGTAGCCCCAGGGAGTGGTGGCCTTGCTGCCTGCGTAGTTTCAGCCATCAGAGGAGTTTTCTGTGGCTGTTGAGCGGGGAGAGGCCCTCTCTCCCCCGATATCCTACGTGGGTCAGGGGGCTTTGGGCCTGGGGCATGGCTTCAGTCTCCAGACCGAGGAAGCAAAGCCTCAAAGGAACCCATAAAGAAGTGAGAGCCGAGGAAAGACATTCAGGACGACATACACCTCTCTGCAGAGAACTCGAAATACAAACCCATCTGGGAAAGAGCAGTCTATCTCAAGGCTGATCAGCATTAGAACTGACCTGCAGGGGGCGCTGCCTTCCAGCTTCTAGGATTTGCACTCAATTTACATTTATTTTGCCTGTACCTTCAGAGGTTTTCAAATTACCATTTTATCACTGTCCCCTGAAGGGTGAGCATTTTTCTCTTCCGGTTGTTTCTTATCTACCCAAGAGCATGTAGGGAGGTCTCCTTCTCTGAAGAAAAGAATGTAGAAGCTGGGGAGAGGGTGAGGACATAGCAGTCTTGTGACTACAGCTGGTACATCCTTGAAAGGTGGTCTCTCCACGCATTTCTGCAAGATGAGTGGTTTGCAGTTTAAAAGGACACGTGTCATAAGCTCATTTGGAAAGCAGGAAAGAATCCTTTACAAATCACCCCACCCAGATCCAGCCATTCCTCTCCTGGGTGTGCACCTGAAGCATCGAAGTGGGGACTCAAAGAGATACCCGTATGCCCGTCTTCCCAGCAGCGGTATTCACAACAGCCAAGCGCGGGAGGCTACCCAGGGTCTATCGACAAATGAATAAGCAAACAAAATAGAGTACATCTGTGCAATGGAATATTCAGCCTTAAAAAGGAAGCGAATTCTGACACGTGCTACAACACAGATGAACCTTGAAGACATTCTGTTAAGTACAATAAGCCAATCACAGAAAGATAAATACTTTATTCCACTTACACGAGGTATCTGGAGAAGTCAACATCACAGAGACAGAAAGTAGAATAGTGGCTGCTAGAAGCTGTGGGTGAGGGATGAGTTATTTAATAGGTACGGCGTTTCTGTTTCGCAAGATGAAAACGTCCTGGAGATGGATGGGGGTGATGGCTGCACAGCAGTGGGAATGTGCTTAATGCCCCCGAACCGTACACTTAAACATGGTTAAGATGGCAAATGTCATGTGATGCACAGTTTACCAAAGTTAAAAACAAACGTCTGCCCAATCCTTCATTTTCACAGACACAGAGAGTGAGAGTGAAGCCCGGAGTATCTCACCATCTCGTGATGAGGATCTCAGATTTCCCTTCGCTGCGCAGTCCAATTATTATTTTCCGATCTTCACGTATTTTTGCAAGTTTTTATTATGAAAAATTTCCAAAAAGAAAGCAAGTGAAACACGTCTAATGAACACCTATATATCCCTCACTGTTATTCAACAAGTTATCATTTGCCAACTGTGCTTTACGTCTCTATATGCATATATATGTACATATAAATGTGTTTCGTGTTGATAAAACATTCTGAAGATGTATTGCAGACATCATGACACTTCACCCATAAATACTTGAGCATGTATCTCCTAAAAACAGATATTCTTATATCATCATGTAACTGTCATTATCACACCTAAGAAAACTGTCAATAATTTCCTAGTATCATTGCATGTTCATTTCAGACTCACTTTTTTTTTTTTTGCAATCTCCCCCCATTTTCTCGTAGAGTGGCTCTTTTAGAATCAGGATCATGCCAAGTTTCAAGCATTGCGTTTGCCTGTTTCTTTAGCCTCCTTTTTGATAGAACAGCGCCCCCTACCCCTTTCTTTTGACATTGATCCCTCCCCCCCGCAAACCCCACCCCCTCAAAAGAGCTCAGGCCAGCCTGGTAGAAGGGTCTGCTTTCCGGATTTGTCTGATTGTTTCCTTGAGGTGCCGTCTAACCTGTTCCTCCATCCCATGTATACTGGACGTTAGGGCCAAGGCTTGATGCAGTTCAGCTGAGATGTCTTAGGCAAGGATATTTCTCAGGTGATGCTGTGTGCACCACAGCATTGGTGGTACCTAATGTCAGGTTGTCCCACCTTAGTGATGCTAAGTTTGGTCACTGGGTTAAAGAGGTGACGGCCAGCTCTCTCCATCATAAAGGTGAGGTGAGAAGCAGGCTGTCGAGTAGGACTTTGTCATCATGCAAGCATCCTGTTCCCCACAGCTTCTCCTAATGGGTTCAGCTTCCACCGCTGAATCAACTGTTTCATTGATGGTTGCAAAATGGTGATCCTTCTAATTCTTTCACTCCTTCCACATTTATTAACTGTTTTTTTTTTTTTTTTTTCTGTAAAGATGAGCTTTCCCTCATTAACTGTGGATGAGCCAGAGTTCTTCCAAATATCAGGGTGTACATGATTCATCTTTTCTTTTTAATTGCTGATTTCCATAATAAGGTGTTGGCATAATTGGATTTTTAAAATTTTCTCTCTCCTTTTCCCCCCTTAATTCTGAGTATCACTATGAACTCATGGATTTGCATTTTTTCAATGATTTACATTACATTCCAAAGATTCCTTTTTATGGTCAGGGTATTAGCTTCTGAGGGCTGCTTTAGCAAACGACCACAACTGGGTGGCTTATGCAGCAGAAGTGTATTCTCTCTCAGTTCTGGAGGCCGGAAGTCTGAAATCAATTACATCTCTTGTTCTGTGAACTGTTCATGTCTTTTGCCCTCTTTTTCTAGGAAATAAGTGAGTTAAAAAAAAGACGTTAAGGAATTCTCTCTATATTAGGAGGCTTATTTGTGAAATAAGTTGCAAATATTTTGTCTCAGCTTATTTGTTTTGTCTTTGCTTGTTTTCTTCTTGCCTTACAAAAGGAGTTTTGTTTTGTTTTGTTTTTTACTTTGTTTTGGAGGTCGTCTGATTCATCAGCCATTTCTTCTTTTGCTTCTGACTTTTCAGCCATTTTCGGAAAGGTTTTCTTCACTTTTTTTTTTTAACGTTTCTATCGGAGTATAATTGCTTTACAATGGTGTGTTAGTTTCTGCTTTATAACAAAGTGAATCAGTTATACATATACATCTATCCCCATATCTCTTCCCTCTTGCGTCTCCCTCCCTCCCACCCTCCCTATCCCACCCTTTCACTCTTGATTACAGAAAATTCACCTGTGTTGTTTTCTTCTAGCACTTTTATGGTTCCACTTTTGACACCTAAGAGCTCTGATCCCTTTGGAGTTTTTTCCTGATTACAGGGTGTGAAGTAGGGATCCAGATTTATCTTTTCCAAATAGTCCCTGCATATTCTTCAAGGGGGTCCAGCTAAAATAAAACCTCTGGTTGTGAATGCTTCTGCTTTGGGGAAGGGGACGGTCTCATGATGGCCAGGAAACTCTTTTTTCTCTTTTTTTTTTTTTTTTTTTTTGCGGTACGTGGGCCTCTCACTGTTGTGGCCTCTCCCGTTGCGGAGCACAGGCTCCGGACACGCAGGCTCAGTGGCCATGGCTCACGGGCCCAGTCGCTCCGCGGCATGTGGGATCTTCCCGGACCGGGGCACGAACTCGCGTTCCCTGCATCGGCAGACGGACTGTCGACCACTGCGCCAGCAGGGAAGCCCCAGGAAACTCTTAAACATGGAGAACACTGCGTACTGTGGTCCTACACATCATACTGCAAGGGGTGTACAGAGATGTGCTTGGGGATTTGGGTGAGGAAGTGGCCTGCCAAGGAGACAGATAGCCCAGGATTTCAAAGTTACATTGGTAAGCATGAAAGTCAAGATTGAGCCTTTGTCAATATTCAACAGACAACTTCCGCCTCTTCTCTCCTCAACTCTCAAACCTTCAGAGGATCCTCCTTGCCTCCAGATACAGTTCAGGCTTATTTCCTTTTTTATTTCACATTTTTATTGGAGTATAATTGCTTTACAATGGTGTGTTAGTTTCTGCTGTATAACAAAGTGAATCAGCTATATGTATACATATATCCTCATATCTCCTCCCTCTCATGCCTCCCTCCCACCCTCCCCATCCCACCCCTCTAGGTGGTCACAGAGCACCGAGCTGATCTCCCTGTGCTATGTGGCTGCTTCCCACTAGCTGTCTATTTTACATTTGGTAGCGTATCTATATCCATCAGTCTTCGTTATTTTTTTCAGCTCGGGACCCTCCATGCCTTGCCTTTCTTATCTCCTGTTTCATGTATATCTTAAATCTGACAATTTATCAGCCAATGAGCTTTACGTGGTCTTACGTCCATGCCTTTATTCAAGCTGGGTCTTCCTCCTGAAAAGCCCACCTGCCTCAACACCATTTATCAGACTTCTGATTAAACTGGAAGCAAAGTTCAAACATCATCCCCACCAATAAGTTGCCCTCATCGTTCCAAGTGCAGCCACTTTGCAAAGTGGTTCTGGGCTGGACCTGACTCTGAGTCACACTGCGGCGGGTCCCCCTTCCATCTCATCTGCTGGACTCCATGCACCTTAAAAGCAGGTGTAGGGGAGGGGATTGACAAGTGTTCTCTCCCCACCCCCAATTCACACCCACCGAGAACCTCAGAATGTGACCTTATTTGGAAATAGGGTCTTTGCAGATGTAATTCAGTTCAGATGAAGTCATACTGAATTGGTGTGGGCCCTAAACCCAATGACTGGTGTTCTTTCTTTCTTTGTTTCTTTCTTTGCTGTGTCACGTGGCTTGTGGGATCTTAGTTCCCTGACCAGGGACTGACCCTGGGGCCGCGACAGTGAAACCGCTAAGTCCTAACCACTGAGCCACCAGGGAATTCCCCATGACTGGCGTTCGTATAAAAAGAGAGGACACGCAGTGACACACACAGAGAAGCGTGTCGCCTCTCTGCTGTCACCTCTTTAACCCAGTGACCAAATTTAGGCCATGTGAAAACACACAGGGAGAGAGACGGCCACGCACAGAGGGAAGCAGAGAGTAGAGGGACACAGTTGCAAGCCAAGAACATCAAAGACGGCTGGCAACCCCCAGAAGGTAGGAGAGGGCACGGGACATTCCCCATCACAGACCCCAGAAGGGACCAGCCCGGCTGACCCTTTGATTGCAGACTTTTGGCGTCCAGAACTTAGAGAGAACGCACTTCTGTGGTTTAAAGCCACGCAGTCTGTGTACTTTGTCACAGCAGCCTGAGAACACTCACGCATCAGGGAACAGTAATGACGATACTCATAGGTGCCCACACTTTGGCAGGCGCTCTGATAGGCATTTACATGAGTCTCTCACTGGACCGTCCTAGTGACCCTCTGAGTTGGGTATTTAAGGTTATTGGTGGCATCCCCACGTCCAGGTATAGAAACTGAAGTTTGGTTACTCACCCAGGGCACACTGCCAAGTTGTAGAACCAGGATCCCAACTCAGCCTTACTCCCTCTGTCCTCCCCAGATGCTGGTTCGCGCACTGCATGCCTGTGGCCGCCATGCCAACTGTCCTTTATGAGTAAGGGCTGGAAAAGGCATTCTTGAACAAAACCACAGAAACCCAAATTATAAGTCAAAAAAGGAGGAGTTGATTACATCAAAATTAATGTCTCTTTTCCAGCAAAGTACAATATAGTTAATAGGAAGATAACAGGTGGGGGAAGACACTTGAAATATCTATAGTCAGCGAAGGACACATTTCCGTGTGTTGCCATCCTGCAAAGCAACAAGGAAAAGATAGTAACTCCTGAGAGAAAAATGGTCAAAAGATAAGAACTGACCATTTATGGAGGATGAAACCCACGAGACTGACAAGAATATTAAAAAATGCTCCATCTCATTAAGAGAGAGGTAAGTTACAACAAGAATGGGTCACTATAGCCCTATTATACTTTACAATTAAGAGTGTTGGCAGGGATGTGGGCATTTTTGTAGACTTCTAGTGAGACTGTAGCCTGGGGCAGCTGTCCTGGAGAACAGGTGGGTGGTGTTTCTTAAAAGTAAGTCTGTGTAAAAATTTTGGAGGTGATGGATATGTTTAGTACCTGGGCTGTGGTGATGGTACCACAGGTGCATGCCATGTCCAAAGTCATCAAGATATAACATTAATCTTTTGTGTATCAATTATACCCCTGTAAAGCTAATTTTTTTTTCTCTAAAAACAACAGAGTAAGTCCATGCATAGTCTATGATCCACCAGTTTTAGTCCTAGTTACGTATCCCAAAGAAATTCTCAGCTGGACGCGTACGGGAACAAGTAGTGAAGTTTATCACAGTGTTGTTTCTGGTGGCACTATGGGTGTTGCTCCCTGGGAGAGTGGAGAGCAGATCAGGGCAGATCCACATCATTGAATCATCGTCAGCAGTTAGAAGCTATTGGCTGCACATATACAGGGCAAGGAACATGAAGCTTCAAGACATAAAGTTGAGTGGGGAAAAAAGTAAGAAGCAGATCGCCATTTACGACATAATCCATTCAACTAAGTTAAAAATATATGCATATATTTATATACATATGTGTCCATTCGGACACAGTGCTAGACAGCAAGAGGACAATGACAGGACTGGAGAGGCCAGGGCTGCTGAGAGTCTCAGGGGCTACTGCCAGGAGCTTGGAGTCCACCCTCCAGTAAATGTGTGACCCCTGAAAGCAAGGGGCTGCCACACAGAAAGCTGAAGCAAGAGAACTACTCAAATGGATGAACTTATGACATAGAAAAGGACATATTTTTGACTAGTGGTGTCCTTCCAAAGGCCTTCAAATCTCATTGCATCTGGAAGGTCTTTTGTTTGTGAGGGACAGAAACCCAACTGAAACTAACATCAGCGGAAATAGTTTTTGCCTCATGGAACTCGGAGGACCAGGGTGAAGCTGGCATCAGGGACTCCGGAGTTTGAGGGGGTAGCAACCTACATTTCTCTTTCCATCTCTGTCTCTCTTTGTCTCTGTTTCTCTGTGTCTTTTCCATCTTTTGGCTGGACTCCTCACAGCGTTTGGTGTAGGTGAGGGAGAGGGGGAGGGTCACAGCTTTCTCATCCCAGTTTAGTGACCCCAGAGGAAAGACAACATCTCTTTCAGCATCCATGTATAAAGACTCAGGGAAGCACCCTGATTGGCCCAACTTGGGTCACATGTCCAACTGTACCAAGCCCTTTGGCTGGATGCCCAGGACCTTGGATTGGCTAGACCTGGTCCAGGTGCCTGTGGCTGGAGGGTGATGCTGTGGTTGTCCCCAGGAAGGGGAGGGGGAGCTGCTGCACAGATGAATGCCTCACACACATCAAGTGGGTGCCACCTGCCTCCAAGGGCTCACCCCTTCTGTCTTCTGTCACACTCATACAGGCTGGACATGATGGTTGGAGAAAGCCCGGTCAGGAAGCCCCTGCCATGGGGAGGCTCCAGGGTGGTACGTGGAAGGTAGTGGTCTGATTAACGTCTATTTAGCCAATGACAAAAATCAACTCCAGAAAAGCAGAAAATAGCAAGGCAGCCCCTGGGGAGTGGACGGAGACAGTGGCAGGGCTGCCTCTGCCTTTCTTCCCAGCTTCTTCTCACAGCCCCTGGTGGTCCATATTGAGAGAATTACCATTCTTCTTCCAGACACTGTATAAACAGTAACAGCGTGGTTATGGCCCCCTTGAGGTCCAGGAGCTGATGAGGCTCCTGTATCATTGCTCCCTTCCATGGAGGAGAGCATTCCAGCAGGATGAGATCACGGAGCCCAGGAAGATTGTGGGTGGGGAAGGGGGGTTCCTGGGCTGGAGCTCTGGAGCAGTGCCCATCCCCCGACTCCATCCCTTAACCTAACTCTCCCACTCACTGGTGGTCTCAGAATGTCCCTGAGTTCCTGCCATGGTGCTAACGCAAAGGCAGGAATCTGTTCCTGAACCCAGACCACCCCACCCCTTCTCCCCCAAACTTTCCATCTCTGGGCCCCGAGCCGACTATGTTGGGTAACTACACGGAAGTCAGCACTGGGTGGCCTGACTCCAGGCAGTGGCTGCATGCTGACTGTGAGTGCAGTTAACAAATTAACAAAACTAACATTTATTGACATAGGTTCTATGCTGGTTACATCTTAACGTCTCATTGAATCCACCCCATTAGGTAGGCATTATTATTACCCCTATGCTGCAGATGAGGAAACTAAGGCTCACCCAGTCCGCACGATGGCAGAAACCTGCCTTCACGCTCGTCTGTTTGAATCACGACCTCTTGGCTTCCCCCAGCTGCCTCCATGGTGTGTTAGGCTGGTGGAATTTCCAGGTCAATGCTCACCTCCCCCAGAAGCCAGAATGATTATACAGGATGTGCACGGCTCAAGGGTCCCCAGGAGGAGTGTGGGTGCGGGTAGGTGGGTAGAGGCCAAAATACAGCCCGGGCTCTGCTCACGTGGGCTATGGGCCCAGAAGGAGTGCCTTTTTTTTTTTAATTCTCACAAAGGCAACCCACGGACTAACAGTAGCCGAGCCCCCTGGGCCTCTTGGAATTCTGACAGCACCCAACGTGCTAGCGACTCACACAGCAGGCCCCTTAAGCCATATGCCGCCTTGCCTCGTGACCCAACTAGTTCCCATGACCAAACGTGTTATTTCCATAACTCCCCCGGCCCGGCAGGCCCTTGCTTCTTTTAGTTCTTTTCTTTCCAAACTTTAGTTCTTTTCTTCCCAAACGCCTCTCCCATTCCTATTTCATGAAACCTACCTTTCTTTTAAAACCCGGCGGGATGCTCACTCTTTCAGAAAGCCTTTCAGACACCACAGCTCAACTGCGGCCTCTCTCAGGCTGCTTTGCACCAGTCACAGCGTCTGCTATACCCTGCCTCTGATAAGGGCCATCATCCTTCAAGCATTCACTCGGCGCGGGTCGCCGTGCTAAACACTCTCCATACTTTTTCTCCCTGAATCCTCACTTCACTCCTGTTCTTATGCCCATTTCACAGAGGAAGAAACTGAGGCTCAAGGGCCTTCAAGACTTGCCCAGGTTTACACTGCTAGGAAGCAGCGGAGCAGGAACTGAACTGAGGGGTTCTGCTTTTAAAGCTGCCTGCTCTGATCAGGGTGGTTTTCCATAGACGTCGCGACCAGGTCTGAAACGCCAGCAATCTGAGGGTAGAAGCCACCGTGGGTCTCCGTAGGCCCAGAAGTGGGCTTCTGTAAATACTCCGCGAAGGAAAGAAGGCTGCCCTGGTGCAGCTTTTCTCTTTCCGCAGATGAGCTGCCACTCCTCCAAGGCTCCACAGCAGACCCTTCGCCCACAGGGGCCCTACGGGCTCTTCGGGAAACATGAACGCAGCTCTACGGCCGGGCACACGGAGACCCTGGAAGGGGCACCCGGGTCTGCGAGCGGAGAAGGAACCTCCGGAAGGCGTGTGGCACTCCAACCACACCCAGCCGGGCCAACTTGTTTACGCCTCTTGCCCGGCCCGGCCCGGCCCGCCGCCCCGCCCCTCGCTCTCTCGCGTAGCTCCTCCCGCCGCGCCGGCCCTTCTTTTTGCCTCCTTCGCAGTCACAAGACCTCTCAGCGGCTCCCTTTCGGAATCCTTCCGCCCGTCCCCGCCCCCTACCTTACAAACTCTCCTTGGTTCTTTCTCGACTGGTTAGCATCATCAGTAATGAGCAGAACTTCCCCTTCCTTCCAAAGGTGCTGCCGACCGCGGTCATCTGTCGTCGGGTTCGACGGGGTGGGGGGCGAGACCCTGCTGGGACTCTTTTTCGTGGCGGAGGCTGCAGCGGCCGCGGACATTTCACGACGAGGGGGGAGGTGCTGTACGTCCAAGATGGCGGCGCCCTGTAGGCTGGAGGAGCTGTGAGGTAAACAGCTGAGGGGGAGGAGACGGTGTGCGAGGATGAGGGTGTCGCCCCCTCCCTTTCATGGGGGCTTCTCAGGGCAGTCCTGGCACCATGGCCTCAGTCTGGGAGGCCCTGTGGGGCTGGGGCAAGGGGCTCTCTTGCCGGAGAAGGGACTCAGGGAAGGGGGGTTCGGAGAGCTTTCCCCTCCCTCTTATTACGCTCTATCTCCGGCGGGGCCCGGCCAGGCTGGCGGGTCTCTGGGGAGGAGAGGCGGCCCCGGCCGGCACGTCGCCCCTCTTCGGCGACGGAGGGGACGGCTGCACCCCCGCACCGCGGAGCCGAGGGCAGGGGTGAGGTGGGCCTGGTCGCCAGCCCCTCGCTGGGTGGGGTGACAGGTTCCCGCGGGGTGCGGAGAGCGGGGGAGAGACCCTCGGCTGGGGGGCGGGGCCGGGCGGTGGGGCTGGCCCCCGGGCTTGTTGAGAGGGGTCAGGGGTTGGGGGGGCGGGGGATGAATGGAGGCTGCCTGTGGGCATCAAGGACCCGCCTGGACTCGGTGTCTCCGCTGAAATTTGCATGACCGAGCGCGTCGCTCCGGGTGTGCTCGTGGGTATTTAATCGACGGTGAAAGACAGTTGCTTTCGAGTCAGCAGAGGTGATTCTTAAGAGACAGCTATTTGCAGAGCCACTCCTAGACGCTCATTCATTCATTTGAGGAACTGGAGGGTGGGTGAAGAGCCCGCAGTCAGAGAGCCCTTTGAGAATGAAAGCTGTTTCTTTGTGTTTCCTTTGCAAGAGTTTTGCTTCGGATTTGGGGGTGTGGGGGGAGGCTTTGGAGGGGGCGCGGTCCTCTCGACAACAGCAGCTTGTTTATGGGGCGCTCGCTGTGCAAGTGCTTTGCACTCATCCTCTCCTGTAGCCCTCGAGACAAAGGGGAAAGGCAGCCACTCTTAACGCCTCCATTTCTCAGATGAAAAAACTGAGGCCCCGAGAGATGAGGGTCCCTTGCCCAAGGTCACCCCTCTAGGATTATGTGAGCCAGGACTGGAACTGGGGTCTGACTGCCTCCCAGACTGTGCTCCTGTCTCTATTTGTACACCTATGACTCTCTCATTTATCTCTTATTTGATCAAAGCTGGCCCGTCATTCTAAGTAGGTGATTAGAATTAATCAGTTGGCCGAGGTCTGTGCATAAGTGCCTGTGTGTGTGTGTGTGTGTGTGTGTGTGTGTGTGTGTCTTTAATTTTGAGGAGGGACACCCTTGCTTATATACCTTAGCTTTTGTTGGGGGTGGCAGGGTTGTGCCTGTAAACATGTTAGTCTAAATTACGCCGGAAGGTATTTGATGTTTTCATAAAACTCACGCGTTTACTGCAGAAAGAAGTCGTGCTAAAATCCTTGCTGGGTTTTTTTAATAGAAAGCATGGAAATAGCCCTTCATTTTACATAGCGTAAGCTGTAAAAGTACTAAAATAGAATAATACTCTTCTGAGATCCATCGGTTTATAATTTGGGGATCAACTTGGAGCCGTCTGAATTCACACGTGCCGGCAAAGTGGAGCTGTAAATTTCGAGAAGCGTCATAAAACCAACCCTTGTGGGAGCCCTTGATTTACAGAGCAACCACCTGTGATTCTTAAGTTGCCCGTTCCTGAGTAAACCTGGAACATGCACGTGTGAAAACTGATGTAGGGTCGAGCGGGGAAATGCACCTTTAACAGTCACGCATCGGGCCAATGAGGTGCCTCAGAAACACTGACAGATTCTTTGCTATTTCTCTGGGGAGTCACAGGTTCTCCCTCTAACCACCTGGTGTAAACTTAAGGGGTATTTATAGAGGGTGTCAATGGAAACTATCCTCTTACCAAACTATATATCTTACCCAGACGCTCTTACGTCACGTGCATGGAAGGGCGAACGATGTAAGCTTTCTTTGCTTCACGCATTTCCTGGTGTCATAAAGACTTTGGGATGTTCCTAATTGCCTAGCTAGACAGATTCCTAGGCAACTACACGCATTCTTACTTGTTTTCATGAAATTGGAGTGTCTCAAATCCTGTGACTCAGTTGTACTCTTCCTCACTGGTTTCTTGAGAGCAAAGATGTCCCATGCTGCTGCTGTCCGGGTGTAATAAGATGCTTTCTGTGCATACCTGTTTTCATTTGTGAGGTGAAACTGAACAGTCTTACTAGGACAAATCAAATACATGCCTGTCTATGGGATGTTTATAGAGTAATGAAATTACCGGAAACGAGAGATCTCTAACAGTAATGTCCATCAGAACCTTCATGCACAGGTATCTGGCCCCCTAGTAGGTAGATTTGCATATTTGGTCTTTAAGTGTATTTTGGAAGAAGTCATAGGTGATTCTGATGTGCACCAGGGGTTGCGGACCAGTGGCTAAAGTAGCCACTTTGGCTATTTTTCTTTTAATTTATAATTTATTGCAGAGGCATTTCTTAAAATAGCTTCTAACCTCTGGTGTATATAGTGGTGGGTAAGTTTGGGGCTCTGAATTAGAGCTGACTTGATCGTACAGATCTGTCTTCTTTCAGAGTTTGTTAAGGTACAGGTATGGTTCTTTTCCGGGTTTAGGGCCATGGTAGACTAAAGTTAACTTTTTCTGGAATTAACTGGATATTCTTGGCTGCAGATGAGCCAAATACAGCAATACATCAACCATTTCAAGCTTTTCTAGAAGTCAGATAGCTTTCGACTTCTAACAAGCCACTAAGTTCTCTGAGCTTCAGTTTATTCATTTGTGAAATAAGAGAGTTGGATTGTAAATGAGTATTTCAAAGTCTAAATTTCTGAGATTTCAAGTCCTTCTGGGGCTTCAGTTAAAGATTCTACATTGATTGAATCAAAGTGTTAATGGCTTTATAATAACTGAGCAAATGGATGACCTTTAGCGCGACCTGTTTTTATCCTTTCCTTTATATCACATTTTTAAGAAGGTATTCCTTAAAAGTTCCTCATATTATAAATCTCTCTTCGAGAGATTAGTTTTATTTGTATTAGTTTTGTTTGTCATTTAAGTAGCTGCAAGCATGAAAGAAAAGTATACTCGATAGCATTTAAATCTCGAGCTTTTTGCTTTAAGAATACATATATATTTATAATTAGCATATACTCAAAAACTGAATTTTCCCCCCTCAGTGTTTAGTTTGCATGAAATACTGATTTTTTCTATTGGTCTGAAAGAGGTTTTAGACCAATTAAATTGGTTTAAAATTACCATCAGCAATTTTAGATTATTCTTTTTCTGATTTACTTATTAAGCGTGTAGTTCCTAGACATTAGTAATTTAATGTCTAGTGTCTATTTTTGGGAGGGGGAGAATTTAAAAAAATATGTATATATGAAACATATGTAATCCCAGGACCTTGCTAATTTCTTCTTGTCCATTCTCTCGTGCAGTACTAACTTTTGTTCTATACAGGGAAGTAGCAAAAGGTTATAGAACACTTTTTAAGGTTGAATGGATTCAGATTGTCATCTAATGAGTAAAGTGCCCTAAAAACCTAGCTTTGATACAGAGCAAGACATGGTAGTTACTGGCCTAGAATTCACAGGTCACTTTCTAGAGTAAAGATAATGGCAATAGAAGCCAAGACGTGTTTGAGTAACAAGGGACAACTTTACCCTTTGGTCGGTGATAGAGGACACAATGGGCCGTGGTAAGAAAAAACAGATGTGGTGACCGTAATGTCTGCAGTTGTTAAGACCTGTGCTGCTCTGAGCAGTTCCACAGAGCACACGAGTACAGCAACAAACATGAAGTGTATCCATTTTAAGCTATCCATTTAAGCTACTGTATCAGTGTTTCAAGTATAAGTTATTAAATGTAGACTTCTAAGGCTTATGTACCCATTTTGTTTAGTAGTAATATTGTTATAATAAAGTTTATATTTATTGGCACAGTGCCCAACAATGTGCTATGTTTTTTACATGCATGATCCTGTTAGCTCTTCCCACAGCCTTAAGGGGCGGGAGAGAGAGATGAGCACGCTGAGGCTTAAGGTCACTTATTTGGTGGCTGAGCTGGGATTTGAGCCCTGTTGGTTGACTCTAGAACACACACATTTAATCTTGCACTGTGATAAATTGTCTGAACTGCTGATCTCATAAACTAACTCAAAGGTCAATGGTTCTTAAGTTTTGGGGGGGCCTCCGTTACCCTCTGAGGATTTGCGGGAAGCTGTGGACCAAATATCGTTTTCTGTCCCATCAGCACCAAGAACAAAATTCATACAGATATGAAATTCTGGATATGGCTTCAGGAACTTCACAGACCCAGCCTAAAGCCCAGCTGATCATTCTAGATAGACTACTGCTCTTAAAAATGGACTTGGGCTTTAAAAGAGAAACAAACAACAAACAAAACAGTAGATGGGAAAGGCCCACGTCTTTTAAAGATGGACTATGTAGTGTTTGTATTATAAATCATTTTCTTAAACTTTTATATTGAAAGGTTCTTTACACTTCACTGGGAGATCAACCTTAGGTGCCACATTAAAAAAAAATTATAAGTGGAGAACTCAGGTGTGTAACTTGCTAAATGCTTGTCAAGCTTGGCATTCGGTCTGTGTGTACCTTTAGCACCTGGCAGA